GTGTAAAGGTTTTGCACTTTATTGCCCACATCTTGACGGGCAATGAGTCCACTGGAAATGTTTAACACTTCACAGGGAAGCTTATGAGATTCATTGCTCATAGTTACAAAAATTACTGAAGAATCTCTGGAGGTATCTTCCAGAGCAATCTCTGAAAGTCACAACTGAGAGTTAACAACCTCTTTACTATCTTCCACTTTTAGATCAGATTGAAACTACAAGTTCAAGTCACCAGAAATGAAAATCAAAGGAAATATCACAATTAATTTTGATGAATGGGTAAGTTTTAATTCATGTATGGCAATATTCTGGTTAATGATATGTCTCCTTAGGACATCCATTAAAAATCCATTAACTTAACAGGCTAAAACTAATAAAGTTACTCTGGAAATTTTCTGCTAGATTAACATTATGGATTTTTAACGAATATTTCCTGTAGGTATTGCTCTATTAGCAAACCTAATATAATAATTAAACATGGGTTTTGTGTCAGGGGTTGGGGGAGCACCAAATGTTAAAATAAAAAAATCAGAGTTGAAGTTGGACCCAAGTCACCAAAGGTACTACTAAAATCAGTAAATATCATTATAGCTTTTAAAAGCAAAAAGTGCCAACCGACTAGGACCAGCCATCTCAAGTCAATTTATTCACTTACTAATCACATAGTATTTGATCTACTAAAGTGTACCATCCCCCTATGCCAGACACAAAGGTAAATTAGTGAAAATCCTGATGTCAAGGAGCTCACAGTCTAGTATAGAATCAAGACACATACAGGTAATCAATGTATACTATACTAAAATATGGTCAATATACCATGAGAACACTCAGAAGGAACAACCAAATTCAGGGGGTGGCGGGGGCACAAGTAATTGAAGTTGAAATTTGTGTTCCAATAAGATATTAGCTCCTTCTAGGGCCTCCCATTGGGAAGGTTTCAATCCTGACTTAGCATTTATTACTTCTGCATGGGGTTAGATGAGATTATTCATCAAATTTTCATCTGCAAACAAGGTAACATTACTTTTGTCACGGATTGTGAGAATTACATGCAACAAGGTCTGGGAAAGCACAGAGAAATGTGCTTGAAATATAAAAGAGGAAGCAGGGTTAGTATTTACGTTGCCTACCATTCATAGGCACACAATGAATATTATTAATTGGAAGTCAATATAGCAAAAGGGTTAGAGCAGGATTTGGAATCATCCAAACATGGGTCTATATTCTGCCTCTACCATTTGCAAACTGTCCAACATCATTTAAACACTTTTCCCTTTCCTGACCCTCAGGTTCTTCACCTATAGAAGTGGATAAATAAAAATAACTCTATTACACAGTTTTAAAAATTTACGAAGATAATGGTTAAGATGCAATAGTATCATGTCCGAGAAGCAGTAAGCTATTAGTTTTCATTGCTACCATTAATTATGCCTTCACAGGTAAGACTATATGGAAACATGACGAGACTCGGTCTAAGTTCACACCATTAGTGCCAAAACTAGAACCACTCTAGTTCCCAGTTCAGTGTTTTAGACCCATCTTGCCTATACCCCTCAATTACAAGACAAAAAAACCTTCCCTTGGCACTCAGTCCTGATGGTTCTCCATCAAGGCAGCAAGTTCATGGGGTGCCTCCAGAACAGCAGCTTGGGGACTCAGGACTTGATGGCTCTGCTTTAGCTCTAATGACCATGCACTAATACCCTGGTGCTATGGGCTGAATTGTGTCCCCAAAATTAATACGTTGAAGCCCTAATCCCCAACATGACTATATTTGGAGATAGGGTGTGTAAGGAGGTATTTAAAGTTAAATGAGGTCAAAAGGGTAGGGCCCTGGGGTGCCTGGGTGGCTTAGTCAGGTGAGTGTCTGACTCTTGATTTCAGCTTAGGTCATGATCTCACATGAGATCAAGCCCTGTGTTGGGCTCTGCACTCAGTGGGGAGTCTGCATGAGAGTCAGTCTCTCTCTCTCTCTCTTCCCCTCTCCCCCACTTGCACTCTCTCTCTCTCTAAAATAAATAAATAAATCTTTAGAAAAAGGGTGAGGCTCTGAGCCAATAGGATTTGTGCCCTTAGAGGAAGCGACACTAGTGAGCACTCTCTGGTGCGCACTCTCTGCACATGTACAAAAAAGAGGTCATGGGAGCACACGGTAAGAGGCAGCTGCAACAGCCAAGAAAAGAGGCCTCAGAACTAAACTCACCTTGTTGGCACTTTGATCTTGGACTTCCCCGCCTCCAGAACTATGAGAAACAAATTTCCATTGTTGTAAATCACTCAGTCTATGGTGTTTTGCTACAGCAGCGTTAGTGGACTAAGACACCCAGGACATCCCTTTGCCACAGTTGTCTCTTCACTCTTGCCATCTGTCTCCATTCCAGCAACTGTGTCTGTGTCTCACACATTCCGCCAGCAGATATTTATCAACATCGCCTGTGCTGAGATACTCAAGGGTAAGGTACACTGATCCCTGCCCTCCAGAAGCTTTTGGTTTAGCATCGGCTTGTGTGGCTGCTCATGCCTGCTCATGAACAGGAAGCCCTGTCTGAAAACCCAGCTGGGATGGCAGGAGTCCCAACATGCCAGCCTCTAGCCAGCTCACTCAGCCCCCAGAATGAAAGACCGACCCTATTCCCCAGTTGCTGTCCAAGCAGCTGCCTCCAAATGGCTGGAAGACCCAGAATTTTAAAGCTAACCATCATATGACTTAGGGTATTAACACCTTTTTACACCCTGTGAAGTTATACTCCACTTATCCACTGAGACCCCATCACGCCTTTCTTATGTTCAGGTATGCGCACTTGTTTCAGTCTGGCAGATACTGACCTTGAGAGCTAAATCCTGGACCACTGCATAATCCCACTGGGGGCCAAGCACACAGCCACACCAGCTCCCTCAGTCTCGTATATCCCGATAGTCAGTGTGCTTTCGCAGGAAAGTGCGCAGTTAGAGACCCTAGTTCTAATACTGACTCGACAACTTAATAGTGGACAAGGAACTGAATCCCGGTTTTCCCATCCATAAAATGGGAATAGCTATTACACCAACAGGTTTGTGAAAGCCACATGAGATAATGCACATAAATCACCTACCAAAGGACTCAGAATATAGCTGATGACGAATGACTGCTGCTTTGCTTTTTTCTTCTCTTCCGTGGCCCCAAGCCCCTCCCCTTCTCTACCAGCTCAGATCCAGACATGATTTCCATGGAGCCACAGAAATTCCAGAATGGCTCTTGCTGCATACTACTCTGACTGTTCTTTTCCCCAGACTTAGCAATTAGTAGTTGAACAGACTACAGACAACCAAGTGAGGCTATCCGCAACACAGTAGGAGAGGTGCTACTTGAATCTTTCATGTTTCTATCCTGAAACTCTTGCCCTTTAATAGATGGGTCATGAGGACTCCCCCAGAGAAAGGTGAAACTGAAATGACCTACCACATGACTCAGTTATCACGGGCAGTCACAAGATGTAGCAGACAACAGTTTTTCGCCAATATTTAACAGCACAACTCTCAAGTTTTAGCTGGCCACGTGCATGGACACACGGCTCCCCAGCCCATGGCCACATTCTTCAGCTACCCTTGCAGCCTTGTGGAGCCTTAGGAACATATGCTGGTTAATGGGATGCGATCAGAAATGACGTGGCTCATGTCCATGTTATGGTCTCTCCAGAAGAATGCAGATGGATTCCTCTGGTCCTTTTCATTCCTCCCACTCACTGACTGGGAACTGATGAGAACTGGAGTAACTAACTTGGACCCAAAGTTGGAGGCCATGTTGTGACAATATCAGAGCTGGCCTGATAGTCACTTCCCTCTATTCTATTACATAAAAAAGGGAATTACCTTCCATCTTGTTTATTAACCCACTGTCCTTTTCATTTTTATTGTTACAACGTCTTAGCCTAAACACTAAACAGTACAAAAGGATTTCTATTTAATTAGGGGTAACTGCCTACCTGATGACAGCTTACTACAACTGCAAGTAGTCACTACAGGAAATAAACAACTTCCTGTGAAATGAACATGCAAACCTTAAACTTTCAAATGCCAGATATCGTTATATAAACGTACCTAGCATCTCAATTCTTTCCCCAAGTAAAACCCTACCAGTCACCCACACCTTTATTACCTGGTCACATAAAACTGGAAGTCTGGGACTCTATGGCCTTAGTCAGGAACCACTGGCTCAACCTGTAGCTTCTGTCTTACTCCTGTTTCTTCTCATTTTTATCTCAATTGTTTTTCTTTCTGTTCATGGCCTTGTCTGGTTCCTTGAACATAATTCACAAAGCATCTTCTAATACTGACTGGAAACAATCTATACACACCCCCTTGATTATTCTATTCCCAGCTACTCTATGCGAATGTCTCCCTCAATCTAGCTCAACGTCTACAATTCTGTATTTCATTGCAGACTTCCACAGCCTGTATCTCTCCTCAGTTCGTATGAGACCCAAAACAAGGGCCTACTAGTCATGGTCTACCCATCACAACGGACTCATTTCTCTTAGAAAAACAGGGCAGAGTTTCTGCATTTCTTTTTTCTTTTTTTAATTTTATTTGTTTGAGAGACAGAGAGAGTACAAGCAGAGAGAGGGACTGAAAGAGAAGCAAACTCCCTGCTGAGCAGGGAGTCCAGAAGGACGCAGGGCTCAATCCCAGGACCCTGAGCTCAAGACCCGATCTGAAGGCAGACGCCTAATCGACTGAGCCACCCAGGTGCCCCTCTTTTTTTTTTAATATTTTACTTATTTATTTGAGAGAGAGTGCACAAGCAGGGGGAAGGGCAGAGGGAGCAGGGAGCCTGACTCAGGGCTGATCTCAGGACCCCAAGATCATGACCTGAGCCAAAGTCATTCACTTAACCACTGAGCCACCCAGGCACCCCTTGCATTTCAATTCATAAAAAAACAAAAACAAACAAAAAGACAATATCCTTATATATACATACACATAATTACTCTCCAGATGTTTTCATTTTGTTTGCTTTTTACCTATTTTGCTGTAATTATCTGCAACAAAATCTTCCAATCCGATCATCTTCCAGAAACTGTCATCCCAGCCTTTCTCTGCAGAGTATGTCCATTTGCACACCAGGGAGCAGAGAGACCTAAGTAAATGGGACAAAGGTAGAACCAATAATATGAGTCAGGCTTCCTTTATATTTTGCCAAATACCTACCCAGATATCTGCAGTAGTGTTAAAGAAGTAGAATAAGCCAAAGTAAGTAAGTACACATCCCTGTTCAGATCCAAAGTCTCCACTTATACCTGGCCATGGGTTGGTGGTTATGGGGATGAGTGATGGGTAAATGGGTGTTCATGATCTACTCTGTTTTGTGCATGTTCAAAATTCTCTATAATAAAAAAGGTAAAAAGAAATTGAAAAAGTACCTGGTATATATACAGTCGCTCTAGTCTAAAGCAATACTTAATTGGAGGAAGACTGGAATGCTGGAAGGTACTTTCCTCTCCAGCTTTATTTCTCATACATTTACCCTGAGTATTCTACACTCCAGCAATAAAGAAATCATTTGCAGTTTTCTGGAAAAAAAAAATTCTTGCACATTTCTGTGCCTTTGCCCTACTCCTGTTTGTTTGGAAAATTCTTCCCAGCTTCTTCCCCCGGGATAACTCAAATACTTCTCCAGCCTAGGCTGAGTCTTCAGTTCTGGGTCTAAATGTTCCTCCTCTGAACTTCTAGAACATGCAACATACCTTCTACCACAGCCCTTAAAATGCTGTATAATTAACTCCTTTACATATCTTCCCAATAGTGCTACTGCTTTCCATGCTTATCTTTTATCGATAGCAAACCTTAGAAAATGAAATCTGATGCTATCAATCCCTGATTAAAACTTTTCAATTGTTCCTCATTGCCTTCAGGAAAAAATCCAATCCTTAGCAGGGCTTAAAACACCCTTAGTGATATGACTATGCCGACCACCAGACTACTATCTTGCTGTTCCCACCCTTGCTTTCTCCATTCCACAAAACTGAATTATTTGAAGTTTCCCATAGCAGGCCTTGATTTCTCACTTCCCTGTGCATCTTTGCTTCATTCTGCCTAGAATGTTCTTCACTGTTATGTATTTGCTAGTTAGCCTTCATGACTCAGCTCAGATCATCCCTTTCCATGAGGCCCCAGTGAAGGGCAAGCTGAGTCCAAAGCCCCTTCTCTAAGCTTCAATCTGGACATAGTCCTAACAGTGACCATAGTAACTGTCTCTGCCCATTGGCTTCCCTAGCTCTCCCATTAACTCTAGCTACTCCTTCAGAGCAAAATCAGCCCTGCTCAGCTCTGTCTCCAGTACTGAGTCTACATTCAGCCACAATGAATACCGAGTAAACGGCAGCACTAAAATATGGTTTGTCCACCTCGTCTGTGGTTTATCACTCATCAGGTAAATGATATGGGAGGCTCACAGTTTTAAAGATAAACCTATCTCATAGAGTCAAGGTGCATCTCCTTCAATCACTCACACTGATTCACTCACCCACTCAAATATTTAGTATTCAGTTACTATGATTCTGGCACCAGGTGATGCCCTGGGGAACCAGTGGTATGCCAGAGACTTGGTCCTCTGCTCACATAGAAGTTGACAGTTAAACTGGGGGAGACATAGCTTGATCAATGGCATCTAAAATCACATACTAACAATAATGTTCTAAAGGAGGTAGAGAGACGAGTGAAAACCTTTAGCAGGGGAATCGGATATAACGTGGTGGGAGGAAAGGGGAGTAAGTATCAAGCAAGAAAGGCTCCACAGAGGTGACATTTTGTGAGACCTAAATTTCTTCTGAAATCAAACAAATGTTACGGATCATTACTGATTTTTTTTTCAGATCATGTAGATGGCAGAGCACACTGAGCTGAGCTAAGCCAAACAGATATACTGAGGGAATGTTAGCACCAATAGAAATGCAATACACATGTGCTAAATCCTTCACCTGACTTCAGATACATTTTTTTTTCTTTTTGAGGCATAAAGAAGGTAGTCACCTGTATAGCATATCCTGAAGAATACAAAATAGGCTAATTCCTCCTGGCACGATGCCTGGAATTCCAACTTTTTGGAAGCTCTGAGAGCTCACTGCAAAGAACAATGCTATGGGACAGAAGATGGTGTAGACAGATTATTTCTAATGATCCGACTACACAGAACAACCCTTCACTCTCCAAATGCCCCATTCATTTGCAGAATTCCATGCCTCTGTTCTGACTGTTCCTTCTGTCTTAAATGCTTCTTGTTCCTTCCACTCATTCTTGTCTACTTGGCAAACTCCAAGTCATCCAGATGGTCCGGTTGCAATGGCACCTCCCCGCTACCTCCAAGCTGAACTCACGGCTCTCTCTTTTGCGGCAGCATTCTAACTTGAAAATACTACATTCTAGTTCTTAAGAGCAGAGGCAGGTTGAGTTCATGCCCCAAGTCTTTGACCCTCCACATATCTGCATCTCTTGCCGTGTAATCTGCCATGCTGCCCTACCCCCTCCCACCCCCAAACTGTGGACATGATCTCCCTTCCTACCTCTATAGTTTGGATTCTGTCACATGACTGGATTTGGCCAAAAATGTAAGGCAGAAGGACAGCATTCTGGGTTCACGTCTAAGCGTCAAGAGGCATTCTGCATTTCTGCTTGCTCTCTTGCACCTCTGGCACAGCCTTGAGAAAATCAGGTAGGGCCAGCCCAATGGTGGGAGGAGGAGGAGAAGAGATAGGTGGAGCAGAGCAATGACCACCAAGCCCAACCTGGATCCCACATCCCCTCCCAGGCAGTCAAGACCTGACGCAGTGAGTTCAGCTAAGACTAGAAGACTCACCCAGCAGACCACAGCCTAAATGAGCTACCCCTGAGCCAAATACATGATTATTATGTTAAACTACTGAGCACTGGTTGTGGTTGGTAATGGTCAATAGTTAACTCAACATTTTATAGTACAACTAAGTTATTCCAAGTAGATTCCCCCCACCCCAAGAGGGCAAGGAGAGGGATGGCTCAGTCCTCACAGCAAGTTAGAATGGGGGGCCAGAGAGCCTGCTTTGAGGGAAAATGACTGAGCCCAGGAGGCAGGGAATTTACAGGTGCAGATGCCTAGGGCAACTTCATCCCCCATCAGGATTACTCAAACACTATGAGGGTCCATTTCATGCGGATCTCTTTAAATCAACTCCTGGACAATATAAATGTGTAAAAGCAGCAGAATTGGCAAAATGCAGAGAGTACACTTGAGGCCACAGGTTCTCCAGAAATCTCCAGGACAGAGAGAGCATAGGATTTTATCTTAGTGAGTACAGACAAGGTACCAGTAGCAGAACAAAAGGTTTGCCTCCCCCCTGAGGCCTCTATTAAGACCAGTTTTCTGTCATTCCCTGAGGTGTTTGTGAGCAGCTTGCAACTCCCAGAATAACTCTTCATCATCAGGCAAGCTGACCTACCAGCCCACTGGGGATGGAGGATGTACTTTGTAGGATTACAATTGCAGGTAGGGGACTGCGAAAGACTGGAGCGACACTAGCAGGCTAAGCTGTTTCACAGATGGGCAGCCAGGGAGGAGTGCTGTCCCCAGGGAGAAGGGGCCACTGGCTATTTGTTCTCTGAAGCCAGACTGCCAGGGCAGAAACTGCTAGGCCTTCACTGCTCTCAGATCTGTTAATGCCGAAGAGACTATAACATCCTAGGTGCAAGTTGAAAGAACAGCGATCAATAAGCAGGGAGAACCAAAATAATATCTAAGTTAGGGGTCCAGTTCGTGTGAGAGCAGGTCCAAGAGAACATGTATAGGAGGCAGGTCTCTCTGAAGAGAGGATGGTGAAACCACAGGAACTGAGCATCACTAAGGGAAGCAGTGAGAGCTCAGAAGGAGGCGAGAAAGACTTTCTGAATGAGAACCACTGATTTTCAATTTTCAATTTAAAAGTTTCTGCAGAACTAAAAAAATCATTGGCACTGCTGAAATTCAAATTAATGATCTGGAAGACCAAGTGAACAACATATCATACTTCCCAGAGCAAACATGAAGAGAGAAATGATGAGAGAACAAAGAGGCGTGGAGAGCAGATCCAGCAATGTAACATGAGAATAACTGGAATTCCAGAAGGGATTTTTTTTTTTTTAAGAGAAAAGGAAAAATTAAAAATATACACACATCCAAAAAAAGATGAAAGAGATGCTATAATTAAATGAATACAGTACTAGATTTTTTTAAAAATATACTGAGCTGAAGCAAGATTTAAGCTTGCAGATTAAAACTCTCATTAAGTCCAGGAAGTGAATCCAGGAAATACTTGAATTTCAAGCGTAAACAGAAAATTATACAAGCTTCCAGACAGAAAGAAATAAGTTACTTGCAAAGGCAAGAGATTCAGACTAGCTGAGGAATTCTCATCTACACCTCTGGAATGTAGAAGACAGTGGAACAATGTACAGACTATTAAGAAAAATGATCCAAGAATCCTATGCCCAGACAAAATATTATTCAGCTGTCAGGGCAAAAGAAAACATTTTCAACATGCGAGGCTTCAAAAAGCAAACTTCCCGTATACATGCTCTGAGGACAATACTTGAGAATGAACATAACCAAAAAAACAAGTGATTCACGTAAGGGAAATCAAAGACTAGAGGAGCCAGCGGCGGTGAGCACTGATGTTCACTCTCTCTCTCCATATGTGTGCGTGTGCACACGTACATGATGTATACGTGTACATGTGTGCTCAAACATGTGCACATACATACACATATATTTAAATCTACATAGATGATGATAAATAATGTAAGCAGGGATTTGTAATATTAAGTTTTCCTGAAACACCTCCCTGCTATATTTAGAAGGAAAAATCTAGTAATGGTCCAGAAGTGAAAATACTGTGAGCAAAACCTCAGAGTCAGAAACTAAAGAAGGGGTACACAGGAGAAGTATGCAGATGTGTGCGTATGTATGTTTGGGCAGAATGTTAAGTTTAGTGTATGGAATGAGAAGGTAATTTCTAACAGAAACAAAAACCTTAGTAGAATTCTCAAAATAACAAGGAATAAAAAAAGAATAAAGAGAAAGTTAAGAAGTCAGTCAAACCAAACTAAACCAATCAAAAGGAAAAGAGGGAAACATAATATAAATAGAAAATAAAAATACATAGAAAGAATAAAGTCACTTATTTCAGTTATGACAACAAACGTTAATGGGCTGAATTCCACAAGTGGTTAAAAGATAACAGCAATCACACTGGGGTTAAAATTGAGTTCTATCTTGTTTACAACATAGAATTTTTTAATGTG